ACTAGCATTTAACTCATGTACTATGAGAGATGTAGGTTCTTTTTCAAAGTTATATCTTAGTATATACGTATAATAAATAACTGATGTTTATCAAAAAAAAATATATATATAAATATTGTTTTATTTTATTAATTATTTATAAAGCTATAAGTCAAAATAAAATTATAACAGATTATATATTAATTATTTTTTTTAATAGATAAATATTATTTTATTATTTATTTTATCTATTATATAAAAAACAACAACATTTTTTAATACTTAATATAATAAGTTAAATATTAATTTATATATTAATACTATAAATAACTAATATATAAAAATAAATTTAAAATAATATTAATATATTAAATATAGAGCAAATAGTAATTATACCTATTTACTTTTTTAAAAAAATATAAAATATAAAAAAAGTTGAAAAATAAAAAATAAATATAATTAAAATTAAAACAAAATCAAATAATCTATAAAATTTATAAAAAAAAAAATTATAAGTTAAACTTATTATTTTGTTTCTTAATTTTTTATAACTTGTAAATATAATTTTTGTTAATATAAATAATAAAATATAAATAATTTTATTATTGTTATAATTGTTATTGTTATTGTTATTATTGTTATACTAATATAATTAATTTATTTGTTAACTATTATTATTAAAAGTAATTATATTTATATTAATTATTATATTATATTAATTATATAAATTCGTTTTAATATTTAATAGTATTTAATTGATTAAGTTTAAGATAGTAATTAATTAATAAGAATAAATTAATTATAATTTTTTGATAAGAAATTTTTTAAGAAAAAATTTTAACTTTTTATAATATAGTAAAATAAATTAAGCAATATTAAAAAATAGATATTATATATATTTTTAGTACTTCAAGTTAATAATATAAATAATTTTAAATCTCAGAAAAGACCAACCCAATCATAAAAAATATTAATCAAATTCTTTATCCAGATAACAACCTTAAACCAATTTCTATATTTGGCAAGTAGTAAAATTGTCATGTAAAATGATCAACAAAATCTTCTTCATAACAAATACCTTTAATTGGATCAAGGTATTAACAGAATCCTTAGCTTAGCTATACAACTCAATTTGAAAATCACATTGTAACACTATCAACACATCACTTATTACTGGTGTTAAGTGGAATTTAAGCAAATCACTGAATACTGCCAATCCAATCAAATCAAAAAGAAATTATATTGATTGTATAAAAAACTCATACTTTAATATTACTCAAAATAAAATTATCATCAATTTTTCTATGATAGTTACTAACAATTTTATTCAATATAATTATAATTTTTCCAAATATGTTCAAAATTTAATTTTATCTTTATCAAATACTATTTCTTCTAATACTGAATAGATATCTATAGCTGCTTAATATTATATGGCAAGATATATTGTTTTAAACTTTTTTTTCAATATTAGTCATATAGTTACTATAGATAAGTTGACATTTAACTTATTGTATTAACATATAAGAAATATTATTTCTTTTATGATATATACTTTGTTATATATAAATCAAATAAAGAAATGATGTTTACTTATAAAAAAAAAAAACAATATAAATAATTTTGATATAATACTTGATTTTTTGTATTACAAAATAATCTTTTAAAAAATGAATATAATTATTTAATAAGAATTATATTTTAATAAAAAGTAAAATAAAAAATCCTAAAATATATATATATATAAATAATGTTATAATCTTTTCTTATGTAATTCAAAAAAAAATTAAGTTTTCAAACTTGTTTTTTTTTAATCAATAATTTTATTCCAATGTATTAATATGTTTTTATAATAAATATAATAAATATAATAAATATATAAAATCTTTAAATATTAAAATATATAAAATCTTTAAATATTAAAATATTAAAAGATAAAAAAAATATTATGTATGAAAAAAAATTCAAAAAATTTTTATTAATATATTATTTAAATTAATTAAAATTAATTGTTATGATTATATAATTTTTTTACTTTTTTAAAAATTTTTAACAAAATAAAAAAAAATCAATATTAAATATATTAAATAAAAGATTGATTCTTTAAGATAAAAAGTTATTTTTATTAATATTATTTTAACAAAACTATTATTAAGTTTTGCTATATATAAGTTAATTTTAAAAATTAAATGATATTAATAGTATTTACGTTTAACAAATATGACATAATAATAATAATATATAAAATAGTGTAATAAAATTTATATTTTTTTGAAAACTATATTTTTTTTAAATAAAAATAAAAATCTTACAATTATTGATTAATTTTCTTAATAATTAAAAAATCAAGAAACTTTATATTATTTAAGAATATATAAATTTTAAATGTTAAATTGGCTTAACTTTTTTTTTGTTTTTTATAAGTTTTTAAATGATTTTTTTATTATAAAATATATATAGTATATACGGTGTGTAAATGTGATATATTTAATAAATTATAATTGGTGTTTTTTTTGCATTAATTAAAAAAAATTTATCAAACCTCCATGTAATCACGTGATAGTATGATAGATTTATTGAGCTTCGGAATGATACACATCATTTATCAGCATGCTCGCCAAAACACCACCCCTAAAGACTGCCACCGACCAGCAAAAACTTTATGAACGTTATAATAGAAGAGCCACGAAAAAAATAAATCAAATACAGTATAATAGAATTCACTCACCAAGGGGCAGATTATACTCGGCATTTTGTATAGCTCTCTCTACAGGTGAGTTCTTTTAGTTTTTATTACACAAAAGCATTCATTTCATTAAAATATCGATCATTATTATTTAGTGGCGGGAGGTTACGTGGTTTTTTATTCCGACTTTGGTGAGGGAGAACATTGCTTCACTTCCGTATGTAATTTTTAATTTAATTCACATTTTATCATTTCAAACACCGTATATATTGATTAATAACTTTCGTAGGCACGAGCTTGGTATGCGCGTAAACAGGATGAATTCTGGACATTAAGTGAAAAAGAAAAACAAGATCTAAAAGATCAAGGAAAATTATGATTTTGAAAACCGTCCAGGATAGTGATATATTGCAATTAAATATAATGTAAATTATTAATCTCGATTATTATTTTCTGATGATGGCGGTAGAGAATGCTGTTCGCCATTTAAATATCCCACAAAGCATTTATCTAACATAAAATCGTAATTTACCCAAGAATGCGTTTGCACTGTTTTTTCAAATCACAAATAGAAATCAAAGGATGGTATAAATGTTTTGGTCACATATAGGCAGCAATCTGTGAGAGAAGGAAACTTACTAAATAGTTTTGTTCCGTCTTTTGCCGCCGCTCTCATCAATTCCTTCTCACCTGTGTTTGACGCGCATAAATATTTTAGTAGAAGTCCCTAAGTTGTAACTAAAATAATGCGAACCAACATACCACCAGGATGAAATTTGAGATAAGGCGTAATATTGTAAATTTTACCGTTTAACGCTGTCCAAGCGTCGTCCTTCGTCCTATGTTGTTTTAACTCTTCTAATGTGTAGGTTTTTATTTCCGTTACTCCCTATAAAATATTGAAAATGCTAATTCTCAATAAAAGACTAGTCGAGTCATTCTATTCAATTAAAAATTATCATTCATATCCACCCTCAGATCAGCTTCGCTATTTTTTAGCCTTGCCCAGTCCAAAGGTGAATGTCCAGGTTCTAAAGCAAATTTTTTTCGTAATTTGTTTACTTTTTCGAGGGACGTTGCCTTTGTACTAGTTGTGGACAGAAAATTCGACGATGACTTTACACGTTGTGGACCATCAACAAGTGGAAAAGTCGGAGGATTTTCTATTATTAGATTGTTACAAGAAAGGTTATCCTTAATTTAGATAATTTTTCGAAGAAAAAACATACCATCATGATTCGATGACTCTATTTTCGGTGTTGAGATTGAGGGAACAGCGAATTCGGCAGCTTCAATAGTCGGTATTGGTGAAGCTGGTGTCTGCTGAACTTCGTCGGGGTTTTCGTTCTCTGCAGAATTTTGTTCTTCGTCTTTACCAAAAACACTTGAAAGGAGCTTGGAAGGGATCGAAAACATTATCGATTATTGTACAGCGAATGACTTTCGGGTTAAGGTAGAATTCGTGGTTTTGCACGTCCATATGCATTTTATATGCTTTTGTCCAATTTAAGTAGACCACGTTTTTTTTTATTACGTATTTATGATATGAATTTATTTTAAAATTTTCAGTTAAAGCTCTTTACTTCTACATATCGAATCCATAACACAGCAAATATGTGGTTGTCAGATACACAAAGTATGTTATTCTCGTCAGCATATTTTAACAGAAAATTCCTTCGTTTCAGTAAGTTAAATACAACTCCTTAATCTTAGAAATCGGAGTCGGGCTGACAGCCTTCGGAACTTTTTTTATATTCCTTGGTGTTATGCTTTTCTTCGACGGAGGTCTACTGGCCATAGGCAATGTACACCGTTGTCATCTTTTATCCACCTTTCTTGCACTCCATTCGAATCAATCAAACCTCGATTTAGATCTTTGAACATTTTCTTTATATAGATACTTTTCTTATCCGGAATAACTCTTATCATTGGCTTCAATAAAACCCTCGCATTTTTCGCTCGGAAAAACAAGATTCGAGGAACACTCTGTTTCTTTGGAGGGTTCATCCTGGTTTTCTTCAAATGGCCAGTCTTGGGAATGTTTATAGAACTGTTCGGGTTTTTGAATCTATTTGGGTAAGGATATTTCTTATTAGACAGAGATCTTTTTACTCTTGGATTAACAAACGTTTTTAATACCCATTAGTGATTTCTTCCCTGTTGTCATCAGTTTTCTTCGAAGATTACCGGTTATTGGAAACATATTAAGTGCACCTTTTCTCTCTCATGTACGTATTTTTTATTTGGCAGCATCATACCTTCGCCGTCGATTTTCATTAATTTGTTCACATAATCACAGGCCGTCGATAAAATAACCGGTGCGAAATTACCTGTGTAAAAAGTCGGACGAATTCCACCTAAAGATTTTAATTCATTTGATGTTTCAGTATAATTATATCTAAAATATTTATCCCGCACGAAGATAATATGCGTTTTAAAAATGGGTACAAAAATGACATTACATTCATTGGATTAATGTTTTAATGAGGCAGCATATAGGTCTGACGAGATTTTTAGGTTCCTTTATATTGTAAAATTAATTTGAAAAACTTATTTACTATATTGGTTTATTATATAACATGTTTTCTGATAAATGTGTACCGCGGGCAGGTACCAAAAAAGATTTTTTTCCCCGAGGAAACTTAGGTATTTCGTACGGATACCTGTAACAGCTATCATTTCTTTCTCTTTGTGTCGCGAGGAAACGCGTACTACGTAACCACTACCAAAAACTTCTAGTGGAAATTCAACTTTAATAATTATTATAATTATTTTAATTTCTTAATTAATCTAACTACAGTAATAGCTCCTGAGAATCCAATACATCTGAGCCTTTAATCTTCCGTTCTTTTATTTGAATAGCTTCCCAGCACCGTTAAACCTAAACAATATTCACCTATATCATTCAAGGACATCCTTACGTTACTATCATCTTTGTGACCTTCGAATTCAACAAAAAATACATAATTCCATTGTCTTTGTAATGAGGGTCTTGAATCAATCTTTGTTAGGTTGATATTGTGATCCTTGAAAGTTTTCAGGCAGTCACACAAAGCACCAGGTTTTCGGTGATCTACTGTGAATAAAAGCAGAGTTCGATCATCACCTGTTGATCCAGATGGCGAGTTTCCGAGGATGAAAAAACGCGTCTTATTTCCTGTTCGAAGAAATCATAAAGTTCAGAGGATTTGAATCTTTAATGCGCAGATATAAAAGGACACACACCTCGTAAATCCTGAATATCTTTCTCCAACACATTTAACCCATACAGCTCTGCACAAACAATACTAGATATCGCCGCCGAGGCTGACTCTGAAGCCGCCAACTCTGCAGCCCGGCTAGTAGATGATGCATCAATGCATTGAGCGCCTTTAAGATGTGTATTAATCCATTTTCGACATTGCCCAAATGCCTTAGAAAGTATTCAATAATCACGCGTTTAGGTGTACAAATTTCTTTGAAAGGAAGAAAATATAAAGGATGGATATTAATGCACCTGTGGATGACTATAAATTCTTTTTACCGATTTGATATTCGACTTCGCGAGAAGATTATGGTTCACCTTTGCGAATTTTATGAATTTTTATACTTGGAAGTAAGTATATTATATTGAAGTGACAATTTTATCGTACCTCTAAGTAAGCTTCGCCAATGATCTGGGTTTTTGATGAAACAAGCCGATCCAATGTGGTTACCACAGACCCGAAGGTCGAATTCTCGAAAGGAACGACGCCATAGGTTGTGTGTTTTTCTTCCACGAATTTAAAGACGTCTTTGATGAAATGATTATTTCAATAATTTTTTTTCACATGATAAATCTGACGATCGAAATTGTGTCTACCATCTATTGTTGCCTGAGGGTGGTAAGTTACGCTATTACCAAACTTTCCAAGAGCAGCCTAAAAAGAAGATCGCGGTTAACAATTGCTGATGTTTAAGAAAGAAGCCTTAACATACTTGGTGTGTATACGATCCGGCAGGACCCAAATATGCTACCGTAATTTCTTGCGAAGCCATCTGCTGATGGACCATCAGTACGGATTTTGATCCTATTAAATACTGATTATGTAATAACCAAAATTCGGATAACGTTCCATATAAGGACATCAAATGTTAAAATGCCGGTTGGTGGTTCACTACTTATTTCAACCTAGCACGAAATTATTATTACTTCTATCAATTTAAGATTGAACTTGTTTCTTGTTTTTGAGTTTGTTTATACATGTTCAGTTTTTTTCATATTTGAAATGAATGGCATACTAGTCATCTCCATTAAAAAAAAGTATTTGAATGAAATGTTTGTTTGAAGAAAGTTTAAGGATATTTGTGATGTATTTAATTTGTTTTGCTTTGTTTTTTTTTGATATACGTATTTGTTATTAAAACTTCAGCTTATATGTACCTTTCTTATATATGTAATAAGAATTCATTGGTTGATATTGTTTTAATAATTCTAATGTCTTGCATTAGATTAGAAATAGAAGTACTGTATATATGCTAAAATTCTTATCCAAAAAAAAAATATTTTTTTATAATTATTTTAAAAATTTGTATCTTTTTTCTTGATATTATTTTTTAAAAAGTATTTATCTATTATTATTTCTGGAATTTGTTATTTATTGATTTGTTATATTGAGATAATTTTTTAATTATTGAGATAATTTTTTAATTATTAATATAATTGTTTTGATTTTTGATTTATTTTTATTTGATTTTTTTTTAAAAAAATAAAAAATATTTACAATATATAAGTTTATTTAAATTATTTATATCCAATAGGAATTGAAACTTTAAACTATACATGTGGTATAAATTATTTGCTGTTGACTCAGTTTTCAAAATCCTCAAAAATAATTGTATCATGACTCAATTATTTATGTTTTAATAGTGACTTAATTAATTGCATCAAATAATTGCATCAATTGTGTCAAGAATCTATGAATTTCAGCAATATGTATACTTTAAACCAAACTGATTGATCCACAAATTGGTTTCAGTACAAATATGTTCAGTTTTTAAAATTTTGTTTGATAAAATTTAAATTAGTTTATATTTAAATAAAAACAAAAAAAAAATTAAATTAAAATATATAAAGTAATAAATAAAAAGATCAAAAAATTTTTATAACTTAATTTGTTTTATTTGTTTTTTTCATAATGTAATATTATAAATAAAAAATTTTTTAATAATTTTACTTTGTTATTTTTATGATTTTTTTATATTTTAACAAGCTTATTATATTTTAATATTTTTTTTATTCTAACAGTTATTGTTTGACTTTTTTCAATAATTTTTTATTAATTTTTTTAAAATGAAATATAAAATTTTTTTAATAATTTTCAATATTAACAATAAAACTAGTAGCTTAACTAACTATAAAAACAGCAATATCAGTAATGTTTTTATAAGTAATTTGTTAAAAATAATATTATTTTTTACAATAAAAAACTGAAGTAAAATACAGTATATAAAAGATTTGAATGTTAAATACTAAAAAAATTATTTATAACTATTGCAAAATTATATATATTTGTAATAAAGATAGTACTATTAAAATATATACTATAAATATTTTGAAAAATATTATGTAAAAAAATTAGATTAAAACATTAATAAACCTAATATCAAAATTTATTTTAATAAAACAAATGAAATAAAATTTTATTTATATTAAATATTAAATTTATTATTTAGTTTATTTAATATTTATTTAATATTTAATGAATATATAACTTTAAACAAATGAAAAAAAAATTAATTCAATAAATTGTTGTTAAACAATATTTTTTATGATTATACAAAAATCAACTTTTAAAAATTTTATAAAGACTTTATTAAAAAATATAAAATTATCTTTCTTTGCTACTATTAAATTAAATATTATGAACTTCTATTTGATTAATTAAAAAAATATAGAAATTATTACAAAAAATAAAAACAAAATTTTATTTTTTTTTTTTTTGAGGAGGTTTTTTCTCATAGGTAAGCATTATTTCTTTATTTGATATTGTATATAATATAGTATACATCGTAAAAGAAACAACATCTCTTACATATATATGTAGCAAGTTAAATGTTAGCCTGCTTACGCGAACACATCTAGCTAATATTGAAAAAGAAATTCAAAACAATATTATATACTAGCTGTACCTGAATAGCAGCTATACTTATCTACTCAGGAAATTTAAAACCAAATTTTATTTATACTTGATATTTAAACATTAATATTAATAAAAGCTTTTTAATCAAAAATTACATATTTTTTAATAAAAATTGAAAAATACAATTAATAATTATTGATTTTATAGAAATTTGAAATATATATTTTAGTGAAAATATAAAAGAATATTTTTAACATATTTAAAAAATTTATAGTTCAAATAAAAACAAACTTTATTTTATATTTAATTATTTATTAAATTTAAAAGATAATATATATTATAATTAATAAATACTACTAGTAATTTAATATTTATTATTACAATAAAAAAATAAAATAAAAACTAAAGCTCTGAAAAGTATTAAACTAGTATTGAACTGATATTAAAATGATACTGATTATATATATATTTATATTTAATTTAGATATTTTTCAAAAATTATGTTATATTTGTATTACTAAATAACAATTAGTAAATAATTGAAAATCATATTTAATTTAAAATTATATTGTCAATTGAATTTTCTTTTTTTGGGGGGGTTTTCCTTAGCAGGTAAACATCATTTCTTTATTTGTTATTGTATACTGATTATATATATATTTGAGAAAGAAACAATATCTCTTGGATGCATATTGCATACAACAAGTTAAATGCTAGCTTGTCTACCAATCACTATCTAACTAATATTGTAAAAAATTTCAAAAGCAATATTAAGATGTCAAATAGTGGAGTAGCAGCTATGCCTACCTACTCAACAAAGTTTTGTGAAATCTTTTGATTTTTTTGAATATAAAATAAATGAAAAAAAAAAACAACTATAGCTACTGCAACTAAAACTAAGTCGCCTAAACTATAAAATCTATGTAAATAAAAAGAATATCTAAAAGATGGCCAATAGTCCAGCCCTTGCACCAGTGCTGGTCTTAGAGACGGGACCCTTGTTGACATAGATAGTAGAGTATAGATGACATTGTTTGTTATTGTGGTAGTAGTTGTTGTTGTAGTGGTGTTGAAAAACCGGTTTAAGCAGGTTCAGTTTTTTCTTTGTTTTTTTGATGAAATCTGATTGGATGATTGGAGAGCGACAATTATCTGGAGGGGGTAAACTGATTTCGGTTTTTGAGAAAAAATTTATGAGGAATTTTGGAATGGCACAGTAAATAGCGTCAAGATAAGGTTGTATGTGAAGGTTGTGTTAAAACTATGGTTCTGAAAATTGGAATCGAATAGAATCGAACAGAATTGCATAAGGTTCGGAATACTATTAAAAATGATGGTAGGGTATACCTCACCTATTAAATTTAATACAAACTTAAGAATCGAATACAGAATCGAAGAGAATCGTTAGGATCCTTAGTTAAAACAAACAATAGACCTAACAACATTGTTTGAGTATATTTTTAGGAAGATATTTGATTTAGCGAGTATAATGGTGTTAATGTGAATGGTTTTTATGATATAATAAAAGAAAGGAGGGGTGCAAGAGAACAAAAGAGAAGAGAATTGCCACGGGCCTTTCCTCATGCAACCGAAGAATAAGCAAGACTCCCAAACTTGAGTAGACTTCGACCAGAGGTCCCATCCCACTGCACCAGTTGTCTTGAGGGTTCTTGAGTTCTTGAGCTGAAGCTCACTTGCAGTAAAAAGTGTTAAACATTTTTTTTGCTTAAAATTACCATAAAAGGAAAATTTTTAGCAAAATGGACGCGATCTATTTTAAAGAAAATTAATAAATATAAGTTATTAAATATAAAGATATACATGTAAATATTAAACAAGACATAACTTCTATATATTGAACTTTATAAAAACAATTATATATTTATATTTATATCAATTAATCTCTTTAAAATTGATTAACTTTTTTCTAATATATTGTATAATTAAATTAGCCATATCAAAAGAGAATAAAAACTTTTACTGGAAATTAAATCAGAAGTCTTTTTTTATATAATCTTTTCTATTTTGATTTGTTTTTAATCTACAATTATTAGAAAAACCAAAAATCCTATTTTTATACAGTTTAACTAAATTTGATAAATAATTTGTAATTAATTAAATATGACATATATTAAAAACTAAACAATTAATTATAAAAGTGATAAATTTTTAAAACCAAGTAGATTTGAATTCTAAAACTTCTTTTAATAATTTATAGAACATTGCTATTATATTATAAATCTATAAGTTATATTAAATAAATTATTAATTTTATTATTTTGAATATACAGTATAAACATTATTTCTTTATTTATTTGTATATTACAAAATATACATTTAAGAAAAACAATATTTCTCATATATTAATTGCAGTAAATATAATATTAGTCTGCTTATAATCATTATCTAACTTCTATTAAAAAAGAAATTCTAAAACTAATATATTAATTAAATAATACCAAGCAGCTATAAATGTTTACTTTAGATTGTTTTAAAAGAAAATATTATAATAGTTAATAATAAGATTAAAAATATATATCACAAAGTTGAGATTTCTTTAAATAAATATTTTTATAACTAATATAAAAATATCAACAGTAGTATTATTGAATAAAGAAGTTAAATTGATATTATAATAAAAAAGACATTAGTTAATGAAGTATTGATTTTGTAATTATTATTATTATTGTTACAGTTTTTAATATTTTTTTTTTAATATTTTATTTCACTTAATATCGATAAATAGAAAAGTATTTGCTATGCTACAATAACTTTTTCATATAAAATTATAAAAAATAATATTAGAAATTATTTAAATGTTAAGAAAAATAAATAATAAAGTTATCACGTCCGTTTTGTTAAAAATTTTTCTTTTATAATAATTTTAAGCAAGAAAAAATGTTTTATTCTCTTTATTGCAAGTGAGCCCCA